CCAAAGCTATTGTGGCATACCAAACATTAGTGCATTGCATTCAATACAACATGTCAAACTATTTTCACTATCCCAGGTGTTTGACTTTCTTCCGACGTGATTTGCTGGTTTAAGTTATCCGTGTTTGCATCCATTGCTGACATGCCTATTAGGAAAACATTTAGTTTTCTCTGTATTGATTTTGCGTATTTGACATTTCACCAGTGTGCCATGATGGTTTCATTCTGCTTGGTGGTTGTGCATTTTAATCTCTTATCCAAAGACCTGTCCACTTAAGTTTAGTCTTAAAGGGTTAGTTCACCAAAAAATAAATTTTCTGTCATTAATTATTCACCCTCATGTCGTTCTAAACCCGTACGACCTCCGTTCATCTTCGGAACACAAATTAAGATATTTTAGACCTCCATTCATCTTCGGAACACAAATTAAGATTGATGCATTCTGACAGCTCCCTGACCCTCCCGTAGACTACAAGGGTACTACCACAATCAACATCCAGAAACGTAGCAAGGAGATCTTTAAAATCTGTGACATCAGGGGTTCAACCATAATATTACGAAGCTACGAGAATACGGTGTGCAAAAACCACAAAACAAAAAAAGCTTCTTTCAAAAATTCACCCTAGCGCCATTTTGGAGAATATCCACTGAACGCAAACAACGTATGTTCTGTGTCAGCCGCACCACACGGGTACGTTATCGCTCAAACTAGAAAACGTATCCGTGTGGTGCGGCTGATACAGAACATGCACTGTTTGCGTTCAGTGGATATTCTCCAAAATGGCGCTCGGGTGAATTTTTGAAAGCAGTTTTTTGTTGTAGTTTTTGCACACCGTATTCTCGTAGCTTCGTAATATTACGGTTGAACCCCTGATGTCACATGGATTATTTAAGATCTCCTTGCTACACCAAAAAAAAATGCTGGGCTGTTTCAACTCAACTTTGGGTCAAATATAGACTAACCCAACCGTTGGGTTAGTCTATATTTGACCCAAAGTTGGGTTGAAACAGCCCAGCAGTTTAGTGTACGTGTCTGGATGTTGATCGTGGTAGTACCCTTGTTGTCCATGGGAGGGTCAGAGCTGTCAGTAAATTTGTGTTCCGAAGATGAATGCAGGGTTTAGGACTTCCCTTTAAAACTAGACCAACATTCAGTGGTTTACTTCAAGATGCTTGTCTGTGGCCTTCTCTTAAAACCATTTAATGAGGTGTTTTTGACCATTCACCTCCATGTTTTTAGATGTTCAACTTGCTCCCAGTGCGATCACTATCAGATTATCCGTTTCCTGTGGAGGACGAACAGGAGTGCCTGAATGTTCGAACCCGTCGAGCTGTTCCTGCAGGCCAAGCTTACAACGTTTAAGGTTGGAAGTTGTTTGCGATCACTTAGTGGCTAGATACTAATTTACTTTTTTCAAATGCATCTTTTGCTTTGCTTTGACAGAGTGTGGGGATGAAGGTTGCAACCAATCTGCCTGTCCAAGAACCTCACTGCCTGATGTACAGAGGCCTGAATTACTATCGCAACTTCCATTACAGTATGTCTTAGGTTATTGATGTAACTTTTGAAGGTTTGTCAAAGGCTTGCTGGGTAATGGTCTGTATAGGTTTGTTACTGAAAGTGAAATCCACTGGCACAACTAATGCCTAAGTGATTTTTGTTTTGACATGATTTGTGTAAAATGTAATGAATGGCCAACCCTTAACTGGTGGTTGCACTCCTGGTATTTTATTTTTAAGTGCATTTTGGTGGTCCTGAAGCCTTTGTGATGGCTGCTGCACCAGTAGGAGAGGGCACTGGAGGTGATGGCAGCTCCTCTTTTGATGTAACCGTCAGGACTTACTTTCCGGAAACATGGATCTGGCAGCTTGCTCAAGTGGGGTTAGTGAAGAATCTCTTGTTTCAGCAAATTGACTCCTAAGGCCTTGTCCACACAAACACTCGTATTTTTCTGTACTTTTTGGCTATTTTATCCACACAAATGCAGTATCCAGTCACTGAAACCTTTTTGAAAACTACTGCCAAGGTGAAGGTTTTCAAACTCTGGTTGCAGTGTTGTGTACCCAGAGAAACTGTATTTTTGGCTTGTGACGTTGGCGTGCACTTATCTCAAAGACCTCTTAAAACTGTGTATAAATATAGCCATGTACATGTGGACTAGGCCTAAAGCAGGTGTCCAACTCTGTTCCTGGACGGCCGCAGCCCTGAAGAGTGTTTCCAACCATGCTCCAACACATGTCCTGTAGCTTTTCAAATAAGCCTGATTTAAGTGTTTCGAGTTGAAATATGAACTCTGATGGGCTGTGGTCATCCAGGAACGGAGTTTGACATCACTGATCTAAAGCCACTTGGCCTCAATTTGTTTGCCTCTCCTGGCCCCCTCGTTTATATCTTCCGGTGTCTTTTTCAGAAACACTGGATCCACACAAGTTCCTCTGAAGGTTCCTGACACCATCACCACATGGGAGACTGAGGCGTTTTGTCTGTCCTCCAAAGGTTTTGGCTTGGCTCCTCCTGTTCAGCTGACTGTCTTCCAGCCCTTCTTCCTGGAGCTCTCCCTGCCTTACTCCATCATCCGTGGAGTCTTTTGAGCTGAAGGCTGGGCGTTCACACCAAGTTGTAGCCTATTGTGCCCATTAGAATTAGCCATGTAAAATACAGGGCCACCTTCGGCCACCTTCCGGTTTATCAAAATTAAGCAATCTCACGTGCAAGAATGCTTTCAGTAAGTGTCTTAATTTCCTTAATTTCGATGAACTGACCACCACACTAAATATGGAAAAACTTCAGTAGACCGCTGTCCCTGACAGGCTTAAACCAGCCAAGTTACTAGCGCAAAAACTCCATCCTAGAAAATGAAGCATGTCAATATCTCACACCCCTAAATGGCTCCGTAGAGAATCCTTTAATTGATGTGCACTAATCCTGCAATTCATTGGCAGGTTAAAGTGACTCCAGCTTCTTCCTTGGACTTCAGTCTTAAACCTTTTAATGAGCCGTATTCATCCTGTCTCTGTGCCAATGGGAGAAAGACCTTTAAATGGATTCTCTCCGCTTCTGTTCTCGGTCTGTTGCACGGTCTCTTTCTAAATTGAGGTGTACGTGAGTTGTTGCTCACTTCTCTGTACTATAGGATCTGTAAATGTGACTGTCAGTGCTCAGGCTGAACAATCCCAGCTTCGATGTGGCACTGAGGTTGTGACCGTGCCAACAAGAGGACGCATTGATGTAGTTACTCGCAGTCTACTGGTTCTGGTAAGTGTTAACCAGGTTTCTGGAGTTTGCTCATGCTGCTTTACTGATGTGGCTTTTTTTTTGTTGTTGTTTTTTTTAATAGCCTGAAGGAGTTGAAAGGATCTTCACCCAGAGTTGGTTATTGTGTCCAAAGGGTTTGTTTGCACTCAGTGACATTCTAAATGTGTTCTCCCTCTACCAGCGAACTGTAACCTAGCACTCTCTACTGATCCATTCTGTTTGGTCCACAGGAAGTGTCCTTTCAGAAGATGTGTCTCTGACGTTTCCAACAAATGTGATCCAGGGATCAGCCAAGTGCTCAGTTTCAGTCTTTGGTAAAGCTTTTCATTAAGGATAAATGGATGCGGCGACTTTCAGCAAAATAACTGTTTCTGATGACTTTTTGGTTTGACCTTGGTTTCTTCCTCTTAGGGGACATAATGGGTCGTGCGCTAAAGAATCTTGATAACTTGTTACAGATGCCATCTGGCTGTGGAGAACAAAATATGATCATTCTTGCTCCCAATATTTACATCCCACAGTACCTGGAAGTCACTGGGCAGCTCACCCCAACCATCCGACAGACTGCCATTGGTTACCTTCAGAGACTTTGACCTGTTTGACCCTTAAAGCACCTTTACACCGCTGCTCTGAGCCTGCTCAATTCTGTGACTATTTCACATGAAAGCCAGTCCAAATCATGTAGTTCTGACCCACCTCAGCCCCTAATATCAGTGCACAGTTGGAACTTCTGCGTAAATGCCATTATGCCACCTCTGAGCAGCATTAACCCATTTTCTTTTTTTGTTTTTTTT